CCTGCCCGGCTCATCGTGCCCGGTTCACCGTGCCCGGTCCATGCCCTGAGTCATCCTGCCCGCTCTGCCCCTTCTCGGTTCACCCCAACCCAGTTTGTCCTTCCTGGTTCATCCTTTGCCGACTCCTCTGCCTAGTGCATCCCTCTGCCCGTTTATGTATTCCCCGTCTATTTCTTCCTATGCGATCCTTGCCCAATCCTTCTCTGCCCTTTCCTTCCCTTCCCGGTTCATCCCTACCCAGTTCATCCTTCCCGACTCATTTATCCCCGGCCAGTGTCCCCTGCCCAGTCCATTCCTTCCCGTCCATTCCTTCCCGGTTCATCCTTGCCCGGTTCATCCCTGTCTGATCCAACCCTGCCCCATCCATCCCTGCCCAGTGTCTCCTGCCTGGTGCATCCCTTCTCGCTCCATCCCTTTCCTGGTCCATCCCTGCCTGATGCCCCCTGCCCAGGTGTCCCCCAGTGTCCACCACAGCCCTCTCGGCTCTCTTGACTCCCCGTTTCCTCCCCAGTTCCCTACAAATTCTTCTCGGACCCGTCGGGGATCAACGAGAAGCGGAAGCAGCGGCGGATCCGCACGACGTTCACCAGCTCGCAGCTGAAGGAGCTGGAGCGGGTCTTTGCCGAGACTCACTACCCCGACATCTACACCCGCGAGGAGCTGGCGCTCAAGATCGACCTCACCGAGGCGCGGGTGCAGGTCAGCCCCGGGCAGGGGAGGGGGCTGGGGATGGGCGTGGGAGGCTCCAATCCCGCTGGAGCAGGGACCCCGACCGTGGGATGGTGCTGCTCTGCTCCCTGCACTGGCGGGGCGGCAGGCAGGGACTCGGCCTCGGCACTACCGCAGTCGGGGACACGCTGCTGGACACGCTGCTGTCACCTTGCTCTGCTAGAGCTCGGGGGCACAGCCTGAGCTGTGGGCATTGGTGCCACAGCGCCGTCAGTGTCATCAATGATTTAGGGCTGTCCCAAACACCTTGGGGTTGCTGAGAGTCCCGGAAGGACAGAGTGGCCCTTGTGGGAGCAGTGTCCCCTGTGTCAGTGCTGATTCCTCCTGGGGGAGTCGGGACAGACACAGAGCCCCCGTGTGGGTGCAGATCCTCCTGTGTGAGTGCAGACACACTCTGCACACCCTGTGCCAGTGCAGACCCGCCTTTGTGGGGTCCTTCTGCGTGGGATCCCCCCCGTGTCAGTGAATATCCCCCTGTGTGCCTTCAGACCCCCTCGAGGAGCACAGAACATCTGTCCCCATAGGGATGTAGGGCCCGTAGGAGTGGGGGTCCTGGTCCCTCCCTCCAGGGAGGGAGCATGGGAGGGCTGCCTGCACTCACAGGCTCCTCGGAGCCCCAGGGACCATGGCAAGGGGTGCTCCCACCCCCTCCATCCCCCTCCAGGTGTGGTTCCAGAACCGTCGAGCCAAATTCCGCAAGCAGGAGCGCGCCGCCAACGCCAAGGGTGCCAGCGGCACCGGCAGCAGCGGGAAGAAGTCGGAGCCCCGCTCCTCCTCCGAAGACGACGAATCCAAGGAGTCCAACTGCAGCCCGACCCCCGACAGCACGGCCTCGCTGCCCGCCGCCGCTCTCGGCAGTCCCGGCGGCAGCCTGAGCCCCAGCCCCGGCGCGGGGGCGCCCCTGGGACCCGGCCATGCCCCCCAGCCCCTCAAGGCGCCGCTCTGGGCGGGGGTGGGGGGCGGCAGCGGAGCCCCCAACACGGCCGAGCTGCTGAAGGCCTGGCAGCCCACCGAGGCTGTGCCGGGACCCTTCTCCGGCGTCCTCTCCTCCTTCCATCGGAAACCGAACGGCATCAAGACAAACCTCTTCTGATCGCCGAGCCACCGGATCCGCCTGCCCCCCGAACCCCCTCGGCCCCCGCCCTGCCCCCTGCGCCCACCGCCCCCAGCACGGAGCCACCGCGCCGCTCCAGCGAGCGGGGACAGGGAGCGGGACCAGCCCTGCCCCTCCCGGACCCTGCGTGAGTGGGGGCAGCTCCCGGCGACACCCGTGGGTGCTGCGGGACCGCGGGGGCGCCAGGCGGGGACAGCAGCCCATGCTCAGCCAGAGTGGCCCTGGCAGACCCTGCGGGTGGGGGCAGATGTGGGGCTCCCACAGCGCTGCGGGTGCTCCAGCAGAGCCCCCTCGATGGTCGGTGCCGCCGGGCTGGGGGCAGGATGCACTTTATGGGGGGTTCTGGGCTCACCGGGGTGGGCAGCGCCCGGCACTCCGCTAGGGAGACGGCCCTTGGTGCGGGGAGGAGCTGATTCCACCCAGATCCCGCCGGCTGGCATGGATAACCCCGGCAGGGAAGCGGTCACCCACCCCACCCCGAGGGCTGTGGGCAGCAAATGCGGGGCTGGGAGGTTCAGCGCTCTCCTGCATCGCTGCAGGCGCTGCCAGGGGGGACAGGGAGCCAGAACTGCGGGGGTGAGGTGCCCCCCTCGGGAGGGTGATGTGGGATGGAGCCCTGGAACAGCCAGTGGGATGGAACCCTGGCTGTGGGATGGAGCCCTGGCACAGCCAGTGGGATGTCTGGGAGCAGCCAGCACCCCTTGTCAGCAGCAGGGTGGGTGCTCCCACTGAAGCTGGCACCCCCCACACCCCCCAAAAGTTCCCGAGTCGGGGGTGGTGCTGGTGGTGCCCAGCCACCCACGACACCCTGCTGCTGTGCTGGTGGGTTTTTTGTGGCATGGTGAGGATGCTGGCAGCCCATCCATGGATCCCTGTCCCCCCTGTATCTCTCCCAGCTCCCCCGAGGTGGGTTCCCCACTTTTCTTTCGTTTCTTGGTTTGTTTTTTTTTTTAAACCATTCTGTAATTTATTACCCATATTTGCAAATGCCACTAATCCAAATTAAACTTAATTTATTGACAGTGCTGCTGGCCCTCAGTCCCTGTTGCACCCCACCTCCACCAGGGGTTGCAGGGGTGGGGGGGCTGCACAGTCTCCGCCCCTGGACCCTCTGAAACCCACCAGAACCCCCCAGGTGATGCCACGGGCCCCCAGCACCTCAGGGATTATTTTGGGTGCCCCCACTCCAAGACCCCAAGCAGCTGTAGGACGCTGAAGGGGCACCCCATGGGAAGACCCCCCAAGTGGGGTGAGGAGAGGGGTGCCCCACCCAGCCCCCCCGGCCTCTGGGGGCCCTTTGGGGGGTGATGATGAAGAAGCTCTTGGGGGCATTGGGATGGTGACAAGGAGCATGCCAGGCTGTTGGGGGAGTGGTCTGAGGTACCCAAATGGGCAAGAAGGGGACAAGGGACCTGCTCCCCACCTTGCTGGGGCCAGCATAGCCAGCTTGGAGGGGTCACAGATTATGCTGGGACCCAGCTCCTCCCCCTGGGTCCCCACCTTGCCCCGCTCCCCACGCCGAGAGCTCCAGCACAGCCATTGCATGAACATGATAAAAATCACTCCAGGTTTACCAAACACCTCCAAACACAGGAGCTGGGGTTTAGTGGGGGGAGTTCACCCCCCCAGTAACAGAGGGGGGAGGTTGGGGTATGCCAGGGGCACCTGGCCCATCCTTCATCTCAGCCGGAGTGAGGGGTGGGGTGTCTGGGGTAGCATCACCCCCACCCCCCTGAGGACAGGGAGAGCCTGGAGGGAGCATCCCAGAGGGGAAAGCACAGTGGGAGCAGCCCTGCCCTGGGGCTCCCACCCTGGGGACCCTCCTGGAAGGACACTTGGCAAGGCTGGGGGCTGAGCACCCACAAGGAGAGCCGGCTGCCAGCCCCGCTGTCCCCAAGGGTGACACAAACCCCCGTGGGGACAGACCCAGCCAGTGCCAATGGGCAAACGGGCTGGGATGGGGGATCTGCCCCGCAGGCACTGCTGGTGTGGGATGGGCTCTGGGGGAAGGCACTGAGCTGGCTCTGCTCTGACAGGATTCCCAGGCTGGGGATGGACTCCCAGCACGGGGACAGGCACTCCCAGAGCGGGGACAGGGACCCCATGGTGGGGACAGGGACGGAATCCCCAGAATAGGGACAACAGGACCTCTGGGAATGGAACCTCTGGGTGGGATGGACCCTCAGGGTGGGGTGGGACCCCTGGGAATGAGGACAACACCCCTAGGGTGGGGACAGGGACCACCATAGCGGGAATGGGACCCCGAGGAATGGCAACAGGGATACCTGGGGTGAGGACAGGAACCCCCAGGGCTGGGGACAGCACATCCAGAGCAGGGACAGGGATCAGAGTGGGGATAGAACCCCTGGTGTACAGATATGAGGTCCAGTGTGGGGACAGGATGCTCTGGAGCTGGGAGAGGGACCTACAGCAAGGGGAGGGGGCCCCCAGGGATGGTGACTGGCACCCCCTGGGTGGGGATGGGGATCCTCCAGGGTGGGAATGGGACATCCATCTTAGGGACAAGGACCCTGAGGGGGACAGGTGCCCTGGGGTGGGGACAGGGATGCCCAGGAACCTTCACAGTGGGGATGGGACCTTCAGGGTAGGGACAGGATCTTTAGAGGTGGGGATAGGGACCCTGAGCTGGGTCTAGTGTTGTCTGTGGGGGCTGGCTGAGCCATCCCATCCCATCCCATCCCATCCCATCCCATCCCATCCCATCCCATCCCATTCCATCCCATCCCAGGCATCATGAAGGCACTTGGGTCAAGACATGACTTTGCTCAGAGCCTCCTCCTAGCTGTGAGGGCTCATGGGGGGAGCCAGGGTCCCAACCAGGGAGCCAGGTTACCCCCAAACACCTCTTCCCCCACCCCTTCTCCCAATAAATAAAAAAATAACTTAAATGTGAGGACACCCCGTGGGTATCCTCATGTGAAATTATCTGACCAGGACCCACCACCCCCCTGTCCCCCACTCCCCCTTCCTGCCCCATTACCCTGCACCCAGGGTGGGGTGGGCTGTGGAGCTCATGGGGTTCCCACTTGCTGCTGGTGATGGTGGGATGAATGGATGCAGGGTGTGGGGCTGTGGGATGAAGGATCCTCAGCTGCAGGATGCACAGCTGCAGGATCTGGGATGAACATCCATGGGACCCAGGATATGGGGTCACAGGATGCCGGGCTGCAGACACACGGCCACAGGATCTGAGGGATCTGGGATGTGTGGCCGCAGAATCTGGGATGCTCAGCTGCAGGATGCAGGGCCACAGGCTCCAGGACACGTGGCAGCAGGATACAGAATGCACAGCCATGGGATCCAGGATGTCCATCTGTGGGAGGCAGGATGCTGGGCCACAGGACACACTACTGCAAGGTCTGAGACGCAGGGCTGCAGGATCTGGGATGCCGGGCCACGGGAAGCACGGGATGCTGGATGGGCGGTGGCAGCTACTTGCGGAGCTGGAGGCTCTCCAGAAGGACACGCTTGTGGCCGGGCTCCAGCACTCCAGCCTCCTCCAGGTCCTCCTCCGTGATGTCACTGGGAATGAAGCACAAATATGGGGCTCTCTGACCCTGAGGGGCACCCCACCCCACGTGGGGGTGGCAAGAGCCCCCACTCAGGCTGCTGCGTGCACACCCAGGCTCCATCCTGTCCCTGACGTGGGGTTTTGTGACCTTCAGGGGCACTGAGGATCCCGAGAGGCAAAGGGCACGGGGGAGCAGTGGGGACCCCCAAGGGCGGCACAGAACTTTTGGGGGCCATGGGGAGTGAGGATTCCCAGGGGAAGTGGAGACCTGCAGAAGGCAGTGGGGAACCCCCAGGGATAGCAGGGACCATCAAGGGCAGCACCCCAAGAGACCTCCCCAGAACCCAGGCATCACTGTGACCTCATGGGGAATACGTGCACTCACTGGGGCTGGCCAGGCTGGGGTGGGAGTGGGTGGGGGTCCCTGCCCACCATTCCGGGGGGCTGCTCACCTGAGGAACTCCAGGTCATCCCAGCCGTTGCGCACCAGCCCCTCCTCGTACCGCTCCAGCCCCAGCGCCCGCAGCCACTCGCCCACGCCGGGCATGGTGCCCATGCCGCGGCCCAGCGCCTGCGCCCCAACAGCCTCAGCACCATTGGGCACCCCAAAGGGAGCCCCAGCCGAGGTGCCGAGGACCCCCACCCACCCTGCATCACCCACCTCCTCAGCCAGATCCTCCTGGATGCTCTCCTGGATGGAGTGGGGAGGGAAGGCAAGGGGGCGGCCATAGTCGGGGTGCAGGCAGCGGGGAGGCAAGGCCCCCTTGGCCAGCAGCGGTGGTGGGGGGACCACCCTCCCCTTCCCACCCCCGTAGTCCACCTCACTCAGTGTCTTGGCCATCTGCAGCACCGAGCAGGAGCGGTCATCCAGCAGCCCTCCCGACAGGCCCCCAGGAGCGGGCAGTGCCCCAGGAGCGGGCAGTGCCCCGGGAACGGGCATCCCCCCAGCTCCCTCCATCCCAAATCCAGCCCTGGCGGCTGGGGGTGGCCGGGGGTGCAGCTTGGGCAGGGGAGCCTCTCCGAAGGCAGCAGGGTGGGATTTGGGGTCCTCACACCCGCTGGATGCCAGCAGCTCCTTGGGGGTGCCCAAGAAGGTGTTTTGGGGGAGCTCCAGCTCCCGGGGCAGTGGCGGCGGGGGAAAATCCGGCGGGGGCAGGTTCAGGGTGCCCAGCTCCTCCTCCTCATCGCTCTCGCCACCGCAGCATGCCGAGGGGCACTGGCAGCGCTCCGGCACTGCCACCTGCACCTTGGCCTTGGGGGGCTTGCCGGGGTCCCCTGGCACCAGCAGCTGGTGGGGGACCCCCTCCAGCACGTAGTACGCTGGGTTGTTGAAGCTGTTCTTCAGGGGACCCCCTGAGAGCTCCGGCACTGCCTCCACCTTGGACCTACGGGGACAGGGTTGAGCGTGGCACCCCCAGAGGAAGCCCCTCCCTAGCCCTGCCCACACCCTCTCACCGGCTCGGGGCGGCCTCGTCCCTGGGGGCGCTGCGGTGCGGGGCGGGGGGACGCGGCGCTGCTGTGGTGCTGCTCTTGTCGGGCTCCTCCGGCAGCTTCGCCAGGAGGGTGGTGGGGGGCTCAGCACCCATGGGCTTCCGCCCCACAGACCTGGCAACAGGAGGAGTTGGGTGGCCCATGGGGCTTGAACGTCCCCATCAGGGTTCAGACCCCCAAGATGGGGCTCAGATCACCCAGGACAAGGTTCAGACCCCATGGGATGGGTCTCAGCAGCCCAGATCAGGGCTGAGATCCCCAGCATGGGGCTCTGCCCTCTAGGATGAGGTTCAGCCACCAAAACACAGCCAGAGCCACATTTGGAGGCTCAGAGCCCCATCCCTCCCCTGTGTGGCACAAAACTGGCATCAGGACTGTCCCCAGTCGCATCCCACACACCAGCCTAGAGGGACACTCCAAGCAATACCTGTGCTCAGGTTAACCTCTCAGGCCTCCCGACCCCCAGGTGCCCCCCACCCTGCCAATCCCTGTCCCTCATACTTGGCATTGTCCTGAGTGGCCCTGGCACCTAGCAGCACCTTCCCTTTGCTGGCTGTCGTCTCATCCTTATCGATGCTGATCCACTCTGCCAGGGAACAGGGGCTCAGTGGCGGAGTCCTCTCCCCAGGGTGCCCCACTGGGGGAGGGGTGCTCACCATAGAGCCTCTCACGGGTGCCCAGGCGCTCCGTGGGCACCCAGACCTTCATGGAGCCACGGATATTGCCGGTCTCCTCACCACGGTGGGACAGGTAGGTGAGGAACTGCTGGGCTGTGCTGCCAATCATGGACTTCAGGGCAATGACACACTCCCCTGGGGGTGACAGTGGGAGAGGTTGGGGGTCTGCACCCCACGGACCCCCGGTGCTGGCATGGTGCTGGAGTGGACACTCACCATAGGACTCGTAGCCATCAAGGGATTTGACAGTGAGCAAGAGGTGCTGGTCCTGCAGGTACTCAATCTCAGAGAGGATGGGCTTCAGCTGTGGCAGAGGGAAGGGGGTGCTGGCACTGAGCAGGGGTCTCCCTGTCTGCAGCTTCCCCCAGCACCCACCCTGCCAGCTCCCAGCCCCTCCTCACCGTGGGCAGCTGCCGGGATGACCACTGCACCTTGAGGAAGTTGATGTTGTCACTGCTCTGGCTGTCGTTCTCGAAGCTCTTCTTGAACTCTGTGATGGTAGCAGGACATGGCATCAATCCTTTACCCTTCCAGGATGCCATGAGCTTCCTGGGATCCTTCTCAAGCCCTCTGGGACCCCCCACTGGCATTCCAGTCCTCACCTTCCAGGCAGGTAGAATAGAACTCGATGAAAAACTTTGTGCGACTGGAGGTCTTCACGATGGCTTCTATGCTCTCAAACTCGATGTATGCCTGCTCTGAGGACTTGGAGAGCCCTCCATGGAGAGGCAGGGCATTGGAATCTCCCTGGGGCCTCTCCATTGAGAGGGAGAGGTTGGACCATGGAGGGGCAGGGGACAGCAAGGGATCCCCTAGGGCATAGGCACCTTTTTTGGAAACGAACTGCGATGTCACTCCCACTTCAAAGGAACCGAAGACGGGTGAATGGTCACTGGTGACAATGTCATCTGTGCACCCTGCAGCCAGTGGGAATGGAGAAGAAGTCAGGATGGAGCGGGGGGGACTGTCCCCAGAACAGAGTGCTGGGGTGGTTACAGTGCTCACCATAAGCGTTGCAGTTGACATGAGTCTCGGGGTAGGACTTCCAGAGGATGCGGTCACACCAGGACGGCACGTTGGTACGCACCTGGCAGGGGTGGGGAGCGGGTGGGGGTTCAGATTGGGGTGTCCTCCACTCCCCCAACTCCCCCTACCCAGCACCTACCCCTGTGGGCTTCTGCTTGTGCCAGACATAGGTGTCCCGGGAGCCCCGCTCATAGCGGTAGGTTGGGGGGAAGGTGATCTCCTCCTCACCTGTAGGGACAGCAGTGGGTCAGGACAGTCCCCACAGCAAGGGCTGCAGCACCAGACCCCCCTGGAGCCCCCCAGTCCTCACCGAAGCGCAGGAACACCTTGTGCTTCTCCTTCTCCAGATTGAGCTGATCCACCTTCAGCAGCGGCTCCAGCTCCTTGCGGCTGATGTAGTTGAGGATCTCCTGTTGGGACAAAGGTGTTGGCACTGGGCTGGGAGGGGGACCCTGACACTCCCAGCTGCCTTCCCAGCCCCAGCCACCCCTTCCCCTGACCTGGATGTCCATGTCTAGGCGGTAATTGAGGTCCCCAAACCAGAAGAGGTGAGTGAAGCGAAGAGAAATGTCAAAGGAGCTCAGCTGCTTATCCCCCAGTGAGAGCAGGCGCAGGATGTCCAGGTAGTTCTGGTTCCTCCTGAAGCAGGGGACACAAGGACAGGGTGTCACAGACATGAGGACAGGGGTGACAGCCGTGTCCTGGCCCAGCCCAGGGCGGGGGTGCTCACCGTGCCGTCTTCTCATTGCCAGAGGTGAGGTGGCAGTTGACAAAGCCAAAGGAGGTGCCATTGAACATGAAGGAGACACCCACAGCGCCCTTGTTCCCTGTGAGGAATTGGGGACATGGGATGGGATCAGGCAACCCCTGATTCTGCCTCGGGGACAGACACCCAGCCGGCCCCAGGTCACGGTGATGGGGCACAATCCCACCTGGCACAGTCCCCATGCTGAGAGGCCTCCTCATGAAACACCCCCCAGAGTCCCCCTCGTGCAAAGCACACCTATCCAGGGCCTCCACATGCAACACAAACACTCCCAGAACCTTCCCCATGCACTGCACACAGAGCCTTCCTCGTGAAACACCCATGCCCTGGGACCCCTCCCCGTGCTCCAACAAGACCCCTCCACATGCAACACATGCCAGGACCCCTTCTTGTGCAACCCTGGGACCCCTCCCCATGCAATGCCCACACACCAGGGCTCCTCATCATGCAAGGTACACATACTGACACCCCTCCTCATGCCACATATGCAACAACAGGACCCCCCCACCCAGTGCAGACACCCCAGGAGCCCCCCCAGTGCAGTGCACAGCCCGTGTCCCTCTGTGCCCTGCTGTGGCCCTACCCAGGGTGTTGGCGATCCCTGTCTTGACGCTGGAGGTGCTGACGTGGCTGATGCGGTTCTCGTGCTCTGGCTTCACCAGCACCACCACCTTGATGTTCCACAGGGACTGCATGGCCACCTGTGGGTGCCAGCACCCTCAGCCCCCTTCCAGCACGCCCTGGGGCCCCCTGGGGCCACGGGGGCCCCTCTGGTGTGTCCACAGGGAATGCTCATTACTGCTTCACCAAGGGTTGTCCCCCATGGAATCCCACCACCATCAATCAGCATCCACAGCTACCCAGCACCAGGAGACCAACCCAAAATACCTTATGTCAGCAGACCTGGAGCACCCACAGCCACCCAGCACCACGAGAGCACCTCAGAACAGCCGGTGTCACAGAGCCAGAGCACAGCCACCCCCAGGACACTGAGCATCCACACCTCCACCACCCACCAGTGCCTGCACCCCAGAGCCCTCAGGGTCTCCAGGGTCCCCTGGTGCTTACCGGGCGGTACTCAACCTCAGTGAAGTCCTTGAGGACAGAGCGCAGGAAGTCCACCCACTCCTTGTCTCCCAGGGAATTCTCCTGGGTGCCAAAGACGTAGATGTCGTGCGGTATGGCCATCGTCACCTCGTCCAGGGTCTTGCCCAAGCCCTTGGAGGTGATCCATGAAGTGATGTTCTTGGGGGGGGGAACGCTGCCTGCAGGGGGACAGCACAGTTAGGGGGCGACCCCAGGGCCCCGACACCCAGGGCTGCCCCTAGCCTTGCTCACCCATGTTCCAGGTGCCAATGAAGACAGAGATCATGTCAGGCTCGTCCTGGTGAGAGTGCTTGTTCTTCATCAGCTGCAGAAGCTGACAGAAGGCCTCACGTTTCTGCAGAAGGGGGCAGTGAGGTGGGGGTAGAGGGGGTGCCTACAACCCTCTCCCACCCTCCTGTTTTGGCTCAGCCACAGCTGGCACCTTCTGGGCATGGGGATCACCCCAGGGACATCACCCAGCCATCAGGCACCGGTACCCAGCGCCTGTCCCTGAGCCCCACCAGGGCCCAGGGGTTAAATCCTGCCCCACCCCATCCCTACAAGGGACCCCTTGTACCCCACCCGCCTCCAGCTGAGTGTTACCCACCCGAGCACTGACAAAAACAAAGTCCTTCCGTTGCGTTTTATCCTTTTCCTTCTCAAAAACGATGCCCAGCTTGTTCTGCACCCGCTGTGACTTGATCAGCTGCCGAACTGAGGAAGAGAGGAAAGAGCTGGGAGAGTGCTGGCTGCTAGCTGGGTGCTGAAACCCCCCAGACCATGCTTTGGGAGACCCCCCAAGATGGGGACACCCCAGCATGAGGAAATCCCCCCGCTTCCAGATCACCACTGAGCCTCACAGGGATGCACCCCAGCACAAAGGGTGCTGGGGCCCTCCCAGACACCTCCCCACTCACTCTTGTCATGGGTGAAGGTGTTCCAGTCCTCCTGGGAGTCCTTCTGCTTCTTCAGCACCACTAGTTTACCCCCCTCCACATCCACGCTCAGCGTGTACTTCTGTGACTTCCCAATCTTGGTCAGATCCCCCAGGGTGATATCCAGCTTCACCTGCCAGGGAACACTGGGATGAGGGAGGACACAGGGGACACCCCAGCACCCTGTCTGGCATCTGACCTCCCCCAGAGACATCTAGGGGTCTGTGCCCTCAGTGTCACACTGGAGGTACTCAGCTGATGCTGAAATCCCCACAAAACTCCAAAAGGGGGCAGGGCAGGGGGTAGGGCTGGGCTCACCTCGAAGGTTTGCACTGGGATGCTCTTGGCCTTGCGGGAGAGGGGTTGAGGGGGGGCAGCGGGGGTGGCTGAGCTCATCTCCTGCAGGGCCTTCAGTGCCTGCCAGAGCCCCAGCAGGGTCAGCTGAGAGCCCACCAGCCCCACCAACCCATCCAGTCCCACCAACCCATCCAGTCCCACCAATCTTCCAAGCCCCACCAGCCCTCAAAGTCCACAAGGCCCCATCAGCCCCCTCAGCCCTACCAGTGCCAGCTCCACTGTCTCTCCCCAGTCCCACTGGTGCCTCAATCCCACAAGCCCATCCCCAGTCCCCCAGCTCCACCAGCCCAAGAAGCTCTGCCAGTTGCCCCAGTCCCACCAGTGCCCTCAGCCCCACAGTCTCTCTGGTTCACTCAGACCCCTCAGAGCACCCCCATCAGGCCATCCAGCCCTGCATCTCCAGCCTTACCTTCTTCTCAATGGACGACAGGAAATCTTTCAGCACAGACAGTTTCAGCACCAGGTTCTCCAGCTCCTGCTCTCCACTCTGCCCTGCTGTCTGGAACCCCCAGCAAGACACCCCAGCACTGGGAAGTGAACCCCAGACCCAGCCCAGAGCCTTCCCCCACCCCAAGTGGCAGCGCCCATTGGCAATCTGGGATGGGGTAGGATGGTAGGTGTTTCTCCACAGTTTTTCCCACCACCTATGGATGGTATCATGGTTGGGTCTGTGGGTGCAGTTCATGGTGGGGGGCTGCCACTGCTCTGTCCCCATATTCCCTTTACCTGTTGCAGGATCTTGGAGACCATGGGGGAGCTCTGCTGGTCAAACACCTTGGAGAGGATCTCCAGCCCTGCCAGCACCTTGTCCACCTCACTGGAGAGGCAAGAGGAGCCAGCTCACCGGGTGGCACATACGTCCTTCCGTCTGTTTGTCTGTCCCAGTGCCTGGCACTCACCTGTGCAGCCGTTTGCAGGAGGTGACAAGAGTCTTGTTGAGGTGGGGGAGGCTGTTGGCCCCTCCCTTCACTGCCTCCAGGTCCAGGCTGTAGCTGCCCTTCAGGTACTCGTGAGAGATGCTGCTGAGCCCATTGGTGCTACAGAGAGAGCACCCAAGGGGTGAGAGCCAGCAGGGAGGAGCAGGGGACAGACAGGGAACAGGAGACAGGCAGATCCTCACCTCTCCACTGGCCTCTCTGGCACAGATGGTCCCAGGCCAGTGGGGCTGAGCCCCGCTGAGGTGCCAGAGAAACTGGTGGAGCCAGAGCGTGGTGGCAATGGCGGCTTCTCATCCTCTCCATCTGCAGTGGGGCATGAGGGGGCCAGTTACCCCCACCCCAGGGGTCTCAGGACCCCCTTCACCCACCCATGTCACCCTGCCATACCAGAGTAGTCCCTGTCCTCCACGTTCTCCTTCTCCTTCTCCCTCTCGACAGGGAAGAGCAGGGTGCAGACCAGCCCCTGGTTGGGCTGCAGGTACAGGGCAATCAGCTCGCTGAGCGTCTTGAAGCGCCGCACCTGCACGCCCTGTGACGTCTGCGGGGACATTGGGACACCGACACCATCAGCACCTGCAGCCACCATCACTGCACACCTCCCAGGTGGAGACAACACCAAACTGGGAAACCCCAGCCAGGGATGCCACCATGCAGAGACAGGAATCTCCCCAGGCAGGGATACTGCCATGCAGGGACTCCCAGGAAGGGATACCACCATGCAGGGACCCCCAGGCAGGGATAACACCATGCAATGATCCCCTCGTGTGGAGGTGCCACCACACAGGGATGTTCCCATGAAGGGGCCCCCATGCAGGGACCTCCATGCAGGGACCCCCATGAAGGGATCCTCCCATGCAGAGATGCCACCATGCAGGAACCCCTCCATGCAGGGACCCCCATGCAGGATGAGGGGCTGACCCCACAGCCCCATGGTGGGGACCAGGGCCCATTGCAATGGGGCCTGCAGGGTTTGTAGGTGGGTACACAGGGTGCAGACAGCAGCCGTCCCTTAGCCTCCTCCCTCCCAGGGGCAGCTTTTCCTGCCAGCCTGGCCAGCACAAAGAGGGTTCTGTTGCTCTAAAAATACCCAGTGCCACAGCCGGCCAAGACAGGCACAGCCAAGCCATCCGGCACAGCCGGGCAGGCGCGTGGCACGGCGCCAGGGCTGAGCCCAGCACAGCCACAGGGACAAGTAAAGCCACAGCACGAGGCCAGCACTGAGCACTGCTGAGCCAGAGAGCCCCAGTGCCCACGAGCCAGGGGTGTCCCATGCCCGCGCTGCCCACCTGCACGGCCAGGAAATCCTCCTCGTCCGGCAGGATGCGGTAGGTGTGCACGTGTTTCTGGAACCTGTGGCAGCAGGGAAGGCATCAGGGGGTGCTGGGGGTGGCTGGTGTCCCCCCACCTGCCTGCACGGCCCCCGCCAGCCCCAAAGGGATGCCCAGTACTCATCCAGTCAGACTACTTCACCAGCAGCGACAGCGAGGAGCTCCAATACCACCATTCCCCATGGAATGCAACGAGCTGACAGGGAATCCGTGGAAAAGCCATGGGAAAATGCCTGCAGGGTGGGTGCTGGGAGCCCGAGAGTGACTCCCTTGCGTGCTCCGACCCCACAATTGACAGCACTATGTCCTTGGCAGTGCTGCTGCCCTGCTGCACTGCCTGTCTGTGCCAGAGGCACTGTCCCCAGCCCATGGCACAGGCAGGAGCTGGCAGCCAGGACACCAGGAAACAATTTATTTTCCTGTGGAAGCTGACAGGAACCAAGGACACGATCCCGGGGCAGGGGATGATGGGCAGTGCTAAGAGATGGGGTGAAAACATCAGTGAGTGCAAGGAGCAGGACTGGAAGCTCTCCCCATTTCAGGGACTCCAGGAGACAGGGAGCCTCAGCAGTGCCAGACCTCCCCACTCCAGGGCTGTGCACAGGGACCGGGACTCCTGGCTGGCCTCTGGCCACAGAGGTCACTGTGAGCATTGAGGCTGCTGTCACCACACCGGAGCCACTCAGCTGCTGTGTCCCCTGCCCCAGTGGCAGCTCAGTGCAGGGCTGGAGAACTGGGACAAGGCAGCATCCATCCCCCCCCCCATGCTGTGCTGTGTCCCTGGACAGGGTGCTGTGCCCCCACATCCTATCCCCCTCTGTCAGGTCCCCTGGTGTCACCCTACAGTTCTGGTTACCCTGCCAGCACCCCACAGCACCAGGTTCCCTGGTGCCACCACGTCCCCTGCAGTGCCAGGTACCCCATTTCTCCTGCCTCCTCTGGCGGTACGACCTGCCCCAGCATCGTTGGGGCCCTGCCAGGTGTCCCAATGCCCAGTCAGGGTCATTGTGAGGGTGGGGCCATGGAGAACTCTCCAAGTGGTAGGGGGGGCTGAATGAGACTCCACTTTGGGGGGGCTCTATGGAAAACCCTACCAGGGTGGGGGAAGGGACCAGGGCTTTCCAGACTCCAATGAGTCTGTGGGAGAATCCCAGCTGGTAGGATGGGGAGCACAAAGAGACACCCCCAAACGAGGGCAGCATAAGGGGTCTCTGTGGGAAGTCCTAATACACAACTGGGGTCTCCACAGCAGGAACACCACTGGAGGTGTGATGTGAGTGCAAGAGGAGCCCCAGCACAGCACCAGTATGTGGAACTCTGGATTGGAGGGGCAAGGAGCAGGACCCTCAGGAGGAACCTCAGCTGTGAGGGACATCAAGGGGTTCTCTGTGGATAACTGGCAGGGGCTGGAGGGACACCCGGCACAGGGGGTGGTGCTGTGGAGAGTGCGTGCAGGGCCCCCTGGCTGCCCAGCCCCGCACCGCTGTCTGTCTGTCGCTGCTATTTTGGTGAGCAGCGACGGGGAGGGGGGGCCAGAGAGCACCGGGCTGGCTACAAAGAGCCTTTATGCAGGAGCTGCGGGACTCCCCTGTCGCTTTGACGCACAGCACCCTGTCTGCACAGCGGGTACCCCACATCCCCGCTGCTCTGTGGCACACAGAAGGGCACCTACCACCCTGCTTCACCAAGAGCAGGGTGTGGCCACCCTGGCAAGGGGGATACCGTGTGCCCACTGGCACCGCCCTGGCACTGGTGTCCCCCATGAACTGGCAGTGAGCCAGGATGGAAGTTCCAAGCCCCCACGCTCCTGTGGGACACCACACCAGGACTGTCCCCACTAGCACTGCTCACCAACCAGCGACGTCAGCACGCCCTGGGGTGCCACTGCTGTATGCTACCACTTCCCAATAGGAAACAGTGAGGCCACAAGTGTGACACCCTGGTGTGCCACGGTGAGACACCCCAGTGTGCCATGGTGAGGCCACAGTGAGATGTCCTGGTGTGCCACATCCAGCCCGGTGAGTCCATGGCACACCAGTGGGAGGGTTAAAGGAAGCCGATGCTGCCGGGATCCCGCTGCAGTTCCCTTTCCTCCTCCTGATTCTGCAGCTATTTTTAGGCCAATGGCTCCACAGCCCTGTCCACCCACTCACAGGCAGTGGGGGTGCCTGGTGAGATCACAGCACCAGGGACTCCCAGTAGCCCTTGTTGGAGTGCAGCCTCCCAAACTGGCATCCCCATGATGGGCTTTGCCATGCCAGTGCCACAGGCCAGCCATGTGGCACCCATGGCCCCCTCACCAAGCAGTGAGAGATACCAGTGACAGACACACCTTAGCCAGGCACCCGTACCACAATGCTGTCTGCAGCCCCCTGTCACCCACACCACACAATGCCCCCCCTCCAGCCACATGGCACCATTAGGTGCTGGAATTGCAGGCTCTCCCAGTGCTGTGCCCAGTGCTGCCTGCCAGCCCAGCTCTGTGGTGGGGAGCCAGTGCCCAGAGCCACACTGTTACCCCACATGCCTGGGAAATTGCATTTGCCACTGTCCACGGGGCAGGACAACCACACCACCATGGAGGCTGCATGCCTGGCAATGCACGTGGCACCAGCACACAGCAACCCCAGGCCAGGGCAGGCCAGTTCACAGAGCACTCCCAACTCTCCCACAGGCTCTCAGGGCACAGAAAAGCTTTGAGTTCAAGTGCCCTCACCACCACCTCACAACCACATCAAGGTCCAGGTGCTGGCACAGGCAGCCAGCCTCGAGCAGAGCCAGTGGCATGTCCCAGGAGCATCCCAGCACAACGAGGTGCCAGAGGCCCCACGTATGGTGGGGTGCTGGGGTGCACCACTGGGCAAAGGCACTTCAGGACCCCCAGGGCTGTCAGCCCTCACCTGTGACCTGGCACAAGCTGGGAGCCATGGAGTTCCATGGCACTATTCAAGCTGTCCCCCTTTCCCAGGCTGGGGACCCCCAGACATGAGGGCAGGAGCTGGGGGACCCCCAGGGCCATGGGTAGGCTCAGGGACCCCAAAAGTGTGCGGCAGGTGCTAGGCCCCCATCTCATAGACCCCCATGGTAACAGGGGTGGGTGACACAGCCCCCCTGGAGCCAGCCCAATATCCCCCCACTGCCTAGAGACTCCCAGGTCTTCTGGGACACCCAGACCACAGCAGGTGCCATTTCCCTGGTGCCGTGTCCCAGAAGTGCCGGTGTCCCTCTGAAAACCCAGGTCCCCCTGTGTCCGTTCCCCCCCAGCAACCACTGACCAGAACTCTCTCAGCCTCCCTGTGCCCAAATTCCGAGTAACCCGCACAGTATTGGTGACCCCCGTGCTCACTGTATCCCTCTCTGACTGTTGCCCTCTTGGTGTTCCCCCATCCCCACCAATGCTCCCTGCGTGCTCCCCTGGATCCCTTCCAGTGATCCCCCTGCCTGTTCTTCCTTGGCGCCCCCTCCCCCTGCCGGTGCCTCTCCCACTGTTCTTCCCGGTGCTGTGCCAGTGCTTCCTTGGACACCCGCCCTGCGCGGCACAGTGCTCCCCCGGATCCCTGCAGTGACCCCACCGTGACGCCCCAGCGCTCTCCCCGATACCTCTGGCGCTCCCCCAGATCCTCCCCTCTGCTGGCCCAAGAGCCACCCCCGGCTGCCCTCCCGACCCCCTGCTCTCCCCGGACCATCCCCGAGGCCCCTCTGGTGCCGCCCTAAACACTTCCACTCCTACGCCCGACTCAATCCCCGGTACCCCCGCCCCGTTTCTCCCGGGATCCCCCCAAAGCTCTCGCCGGTGCCCCCTCAAGCTTCTCCCTGCAGCTCTGCCACGGTCGCCCCCGGTTCTCCCCCAGACTCCCTGCCCGTGCCTCCGCTGCTCCCCCGGCCCCGCGCCGGTCCCCTCCCGGTGCACCCCCTTCAGGCACCCCCGATGGCCGCTCCCGGGTGTCCCCCCACGCCCCGCCGGCACCGCGGGGGTGTCCCCCCGGCAGCCCCCCGCCTGTACCCCACTCACAGCAGGCAGAGCGCGTAGGCCCCCGCCACGCTTTCGCTGTCCCGCACCAGGAAGCTGCCGTCCCGCCCGGCCCGCGCCAGCTGCTCCTCGGCCGCCGCCCGGCTCAGGTCCCGGTGGTACCAGGGGGGCACCGGCACCGGGGCCGCTCCTCCCGCGCCCCCCGCGCCCCCCGCGCCCGCCATGCTCCGCCGCCGGGGCCGCGCCGCGGGGCCGCGCTCTGAGGGGGAGGGGGAGCCGAGGGGCGGGCAGCGGGGCGGGGAAAGGTGGGGGACGGGGACATCTCGGGGACAGGCAGGGGCTCCGGGGGATGGGGTCGCCGAGGGCCCCAGGGGGGCACCGATGAGGCACCCGGGGGCCCACGGGAGAGATCCGGGGGTCGCCACCGTGAGAGGCGAACGCGGGAGGGGACCCGCGGGGATCCTGGGGGAGCAGCAGGGGGAGCTCGGGGGAGCACTGGTGGGGTCCTGGGGGGCGCACCCGAGAGGCACCGGGGCAGATCAGGGGCCGTGAGCAGGATGTTCAGGGGGGCATCGGGGGGTCTGACCGAGGGGCAGCGGCACCGAGGGGCGGAGAGCAGCGGGTAGCGGCAGCAGCAGTGGGGAGCACCGGGAGGATGAAGAGCACCGGGCCGGGGAGCACCTGGCAGGGGGAAGCACCAGGGGAGCAACCGGGGCATACCGAAAGGAAGAGCCGGGGCACGGTGCTATGAAGGCACCGGCAGTGTGAAGGTACCGGGGAGCTGGGCACTGGGGAAAGTGGGGCCGCGGTGGGGCAGGGCTGGGGCTGGGGGCTGAAGAAGTGGGAGGCGCGACCCGGTTTGGCCACCAAAACCGGGGACTCCATCAGCCAGGGATCAGGACGGTGCTACCCCACAGCTGGGAACGCAGAGCATGTGGGGGGAAAAGGGACAACTGGGGTGGGCTCCGGGCCAGCAGAACTCCCTTGACAACCATGCTCCCACCTCAGGGTCCCCGGGATATCCTCCCCTATTTGCCCATAATTTTTCCAGTCTCATCCTGCGCACCCCAGGGTGTCAGTGACACCTGGGGCCCTGGAGCCATGTCAGGTGCTAGGATACATTCAGCGATCCCATCCTCCTGGGCCCCAGTAGCAGGCAGCTGTGTGCCTGGACAGTGGTTTGGGGGAGGCAGTGCTGGGTAGCCAGGTTGGTTGGTACAAATGAATAGGAATGATGTCTGCTTCATCTCCCCACCAGAAGCAGCATGGGACTAGCAGACATCCCCAGGTCCCTCAAACATCCTATTGACCCCCACAGCCATCACACAACACCCAAGACCAAGCAGGGCAGCAGCATTTATTCATGGGCCACATGCCTTGGGGCGGGGGGACACAGCTTGGGGACATCCCATGAGGACACACAAGGCAGCCTGGGGACCCCCTGACCATCTACTGCCCACTCCTTCCTGCAGCCCCTCCTCCTCAGAGCAGGGCCAGCAGGGTGAGGGGCAGCAGGGACAGCAGGATAGAGGACAGGAAGTTTGGGGGAGCATTGCCATGGGCATAATATTGGGCAACAGCAACGTTGGGGTTCCCCTGAGCGGGGTCAAACCACATCTGGATGCAGCGGCTGCTGCCACGGTGGTGGGACGTGTAGCGGTAGGAGCCAGACCAGACCTGCTCGCAGAGCGCAGCCGCCGTGGGGAACACAAACTTGAACTTCTGGCACATGGCGCCCTTGGGACACTGATTGGTGCCTGGGGGTGGGCAGGGGGTGAAGTGGGTGAGGGCTTTGGGAAATGGGTGTTGCTCCCCTGTGCATGGGGTGCACATGGGTCCCACTGGCATTGCTGGGGAAGAGAGAGCTGACCTCAAGGCGGCACAGGGTCTCACATTGCATTACCCCATGAGGACCCTCACACCCCCTGACCCTCTCACAGCCACCAGGGAGGGTGGGCACAACTTCCCCTGCAGCAAGATGGAGGGTGACTGGAGACCCACAGCAGGGTCGAGGCATGATGGGGGGTGCCCTGCAACCCCCACTCACCTGTAGTCCAGTTCCAGCCCTTGTGCCAGTTGACCTTGCAGGTGACAGCATCCTGGCAATCCTCCCACCACTGCTCACAGTCCTCCTGGCACAGTGGCACATCCCGGATCCGCTCCTTCCGCCAGCTGGTGTCTGCCTGCAGGGCCCCCAGTTTCCCCCAGTTTCCCCCAGCTCACCCCAAGGATTCTGGTGGGTGGATGAGGGCAGGATCTGCACCTACCTGGTCGATCCATGGCCCCAGGTTAGGGGAACACTCATAGAGACACGTGTCCTGGATGAAGTGGCGCTTGCACTTCTCTGGCATGGCCCCACAGTGGTCCCAGTTGAAGTTGTACAGGTAGGACTGGTCCTGGTGAGCTTCCAGACTGGTGTTGGCAGTGCAGCAGGCATTGTCCTTCCAGAGGACACACTGCACCGGGGCAGCCGGGGCTCAGCTGGGACCCATCAGGAGCCACCAGGGCTCAGCTGGGACCTACTGCAGGTCCAGGGAAAGCACCAGTGCCCGTGGGTGGGTGACACCGGGTGCTGGAATTCATGTTGGGGCACAGAGCCCCCCAGCCTCCATCCTGGTGATCCCACAGCAAGTGACACCAGTGGGTGCTGGTGCAGTGGTTAAGGACCGTACCTGTCCGTAGAGCTGCCCCTCAGGGCCAGGCTCTGTTTTGTGGTGCTTGGCATCCATGCAGACATTCAGCAGCGAGTCCCGTGTCACCGTCACTGCTGCAGTGGCAGCTGGCCAGGCCACCAGCAGAGCCAACACCGCTGCCATTGCTCTGCCAGGGCAGGAGCAGGTCAGGATAGCAGCATGGAGAGACGTGGTGACAGCAGGGACAAAGTCCCCCCGCCGTGCACGTGGAAGCGCAGCAGCACATGGTCACTGCCCACGACCACCAACAGTGGGGTCTGGGATCTTACCTGGGGGTGCCAGGGCTCTTACCTGGGGGGCAGCTGGGCTCCAGGTGCCGTGGGACGAGCACAGCTCATCTCAAAGGTCGTGGTGCAGAACAACCCGTGGCCACTGATCACGGGACGCGGGAATGCAGCGGATTGGGCAGCACTGAGGGCATGGAGAAGACAGTACACCCCGCCCTGGCTCCCCACTGTGTCCTGGACTGACACTCGTGCCTATCCTGGCCCCTCATCAGCCCCACATGCAGCTGGGATTCATCCTCCTGGCGCCGGGCTGGGGCCAGCACCAGCCAAAATCCACTTATGGCTGTTTTTCCTTCCCTCCTATGGGAGGTGGCCTGATTCCCTGACACCGGCACAAGGGGAGGACCTGGCCCCCCAGCACCACAGGACCCCTGTGAGTGACTGGTGGGGAACAGCACAGTGGGTAAGAGATGTTGCTGAGAGGGACAGGTACCTTGGCAGGGTCACATTTGGCCACAGGGTAGAGGCAAGTACCCCTCATTGAGTTCCAGGTACTCAGGGGATCACAGATCCCATGGAGGGGGAGCAGATACCTGGCGGGAGAGCATTCACTGTGGCTCGGGAGGGACAGAAACGCTGCAGAGTGAGACATGCCGGCTGGGGGAGGACTAGGAGGGAAGACATCTGTAAGGGACAGATACTTCCAAGGTCACACGTGATGGGGGGGCAGACGTGCCCCGGGGATCACAGATGCCCTGAGGAGGGGGGAAGATACCCCCCTCAGAGATGACAGATACCGCCCTCACAGGTGACAGATACTCCCAGCCATGGATGACAGCTGCCCCCACAGGAGCAGATACCCCACCAGCATCACAGATACCTCCTCAGTGTGGTCACTGGTCCCTGTGGGGCTGACATACCCACCATTGGTCACAAATACCCCACGGGGGGCACAGATACTCCGTGGGGATCACAAATACCCCCTGACGGAGGTCACAGATAACTCGGGGCTGCTCACCTATGCCCGGGCCAGCAGAGCAGCCCCA